TTTCCCTAAACACAGCTTCTGAGCACAGACAGGATTCCTACATGGACACAAGAGTCTATTAGTTCTTCCTATTGAAGGCAAGATACTTGGGCTTCTTACTGCAAAGCAATAGGAGCTGCTCCACAGCACTGGGGCTAAGTGCTGCACTTGGTGCTGGAGTCCCTCACTGCACAGAGTGATTTTGTGGTGAGACACTGGCACAGGTTGCCCTGGGAGGTTGTGGCTGCCCCAACCCTGGCAGTATTCAATGCCAGGTTGGTTGAAGCCTTGAGCAGTCTGATCTGGTGGGAGGTGTCCCTGCCGATGGCAGGAGGTTGGGACTAGAAGATCTCTAAGCTGCCCCTAAAATTCTGTGATTCTATGACTCTATGATTTTCTCGCAGTCATCTCTCTTCCTGCATGCTCCTCTTCACATCATTGACCCCAAAATGTAGGCAACTAGAAACTGGCTCCTGCTCACATGAAATAAATAGTTCCAGCAATGATTTCCCAGCTCTTTGATGATTTCAGTATTTTTCTACCTCTAACCAAAATCTCTGGTTCATACAGTAAGAAGAAAAAGCCTCAGTAGGTCATTTAGGCCTTCTAGCTATTGCAGGATTATCCTCTGTGGTATCTTCTAAAAAACTTTGACACCTTCACAAAAATTTTAAAAAGTTTGTGAAAGATTACTTAATATTCAGGCTAACTTTTCCTCTATCTAGTGTAACTCCTAGAATTTTCAGCTTCTTCTATACCAGGAAATCTGACCCAAGGGGAGCTGTTAATGGCTACCACTACCACGGTACCACACTGAAATGCACTTGCTCAAGCTCACATCTGGGTATGACCTACCAGCACAGACAGGCCCCACACAGACCCAGCACACCATGCATGCAGCAGCCCAAGCCCAGGCTCTGCCATACTCAGGCTATATGCACTGACTTCACACCAGTAGCTTCCTCCATCTCATTTGGCTTTACACCTAACAGCCTCAACACTGGCACCAGGCAATAGAGCCTGAAGTGCAGCAGGATTTGCTGGTAATTATCAGTGTCACTCAGCTGATTTGTTGATACCATTTTGCATTCTTCTGATTCCTAGTATTGATTCCTCCACTGCTGTCATCACTTCTGTACTACCCTAGGAACCTGCCAAGCTTGTAGGTGTCTTTCTGAAAGAGAGGAGTCCAGTGCTGTGCCTCGGATAACTCTAGTCTCAGCCTATGACACAAGGCTGAAGCCAGCTCAGCACATGCTGTTTCCCCCAGCAGTACCCCACATCTGTTGTGATAATTTTGGCTACCAGATCTGTTTGAGGAATCTGTTCCAGGAAATGGAAGTGTTCAGACTCTCACATGTCCCCTTGTCCTGCCCTAAACAGGACACAGTGATGCAAGGACAAAGGAGTTCTCGGAGTGGTCACTGTGTACAATGTGATGAGCTTGGGTTAGTGAGCAGCTGTATTCCAGCTGAAAGTCATGGCATTCCCACACCTAATCCTGAGTACTCTGCTATGGTGACAACAGCCAAATGGGCCTGGGTTGGGCCAGTCACAGCCCTGAGCAGATTTATCAGAACTGAACATCCCTTTTATCACCTCCCTCAGCTGCAGCACTCAGGAGTCACAGGCAGAGGCAAAAGCAATAAGTAAATACCTTTTGGGGCAGTGCAATGCCAACCCAGGAGAAGCACTGAAGCAAGTAATGTCTAGCTCTCAATGAAATTATTTCATTATGTAGCCATTATTAACTTCTGTAGCTGCATAATTATGTGATTAATCAAATCTAATGCCTTCAGTCAGAAACTGTGTATCAGTGGGGCTCAAGGAGAGTTTCTCTGTCTTACACAGGGCAGCACAACTGGCTCAGGGCATAAAGGGGCTTTTGCTTTCCTCTGAAGCACCAGGCACTGACCATGCTGGAGGCAAGGCTGAGCTCTGATGTGGTGTGGCAGTTTCTATGAAGCAAATGAGATCTCAAGGACAGACATCATCAAGGGATGCTGCAGTCTCATTTCCATACACAGCCCCAGCATAAGGCCATGCTCTGCTGCTGAGCATGAGCAGAGCAGACACAAGTGTCTGTCATGAGAGCATTAAAGGGAAAAAGGCAAAGACCCTTGGAGAGCTTTAATTAGGAAATGCATTTAGATGAAAAGAATAGTTTCCAAAGTTAATTGTATTTTGGTTTGCCATAAGACAGTGAGTGACAAAGCTTGCTTCTGACCTAACTCATCAGCTTTCTGTCTTTGGAGCAAATATTAGATGTCACCGTTTAACAGTCTTTCTCCAAACACCCCAATCTCAGCCTTAGGCAGTTATTCCCAGCTATCCTGTCTCCTGACCTACAGGGGCAGAAACCCAGCAAGAACACTTGCTGGGAGTCCATAGGGGTCTGAAAATTTCCCATTGTGTGGCCAAACTAAACCCTAATAACTTCTCTTTTTCTCCAGCACTCTAAGATGTGCAGGCTGGGGGCCAAGTTAAACAGATACTTGCAAGCTTCTCTCTGTCTCCACTGACAACTTTAATACCTGGCAAATTTGAAGCCAGAGCATTCATGGAATTGTCCAACAAGAGTCAATAGAACTGAGCAACAAAAAGAAAAATACATAAATAAACAGTGAAGCAAAGTTGTGGTTCCATTGCTCGTGCCAGGGAAGAATTTATCTGCAGAGAAACTGTGTGCACAGAAAGGGACAGCTGCCAGACTTATACGATACATAAGAAGTTTCCACTCACATTTTTCTCTGCACAAAGAGGAAAAGCTTAGATCGTGAAAGCAGAGTGTGCTACATTCTTGTTGGAGTTCCCAGGGTTACTATTTATTTTAGAATGTCTGCTCTGCCACTCCACAGATTTGGTTTCAATGCCTCATGCAGGTCTAAAAGCATAGGAAGAGCAGCTTTGCTCTATAATCTCTGCTTTTGCATTCGAGAAGTCCCAGAATCCAAGTGCACTCTGGCCATGGTGCACTGGTTTTTACAGGGGTCCTGGGGTCACTTCCTAGAGACAAAGCTGGAGGTGCAAACATGCCATGGAAAGCCACCATAGCACACTAAAATCAGGCCAACTACCAAGCAGCCCATCTCCCACTGCTGCACTGCTGATTAGAGTTGCAGCTGTGTGTTATGTGTGAATTTAGCTGCAAACACGAGCTCAGGGCTGAGAGCAATTGGCACCATGGCTCATACACAGAGTATCACCTACTCCACATGCTCCCCCAAAGAAGAAAACTGCAGGGATAGATAATTCACAGATGGAGCCTACAGGCTGTTCAGTGTGGTTATGCACAGATCATAAACCAGTGTTCTGCTCCAGCCAATGCACTGCACACCCAAGACCCTTCCAGAATTAGCAAAAATTTTCAGTGAAGATGCTGACACTGGCTCTGTCAGCCAGAGTGACAATATCTGCAGCTTGTGGGAAAACTGAAGCTTTTGACAGGTTCCAGACTCAGAGGCAAGATAACACAACTTCTGGAGTCCCAGTAGCAGAACCTAGTGGGACATATTCACCCTTTCATGGCTGAAAGGAGCTGGGCCCACCGTGTATGACATTCTGTCATGCCAAGCTTCAACCTGCATTTCAGCCTGCAGCAGTTCTCTCTGCTGTACCATCACAAAAACGTGACAGCACACACAGCTGGTGTCTTGAATCTGCTAGTTTCCTATTTATGTTTTTTGTTGCCAACCCTTCAATTACTGTGTCTGTCTCTTGGCTATTGGTCTGTTCCCTGGAGCAGGAACTAGCTTTGCTTTATTTCTAAAGCACCACAGTGAGTCCATGATCAGCTGCTGGGGATTGCAGTCACTGCAGCAGTGCAAATAAAGTAAGTGTAGTGAATTCTACAATTATTTGATGAACTGTTGATTATTCAGATTCTGTTTAGGGTCATTAGAATGTAGCTTTATGCTCCTTTAAAGATATATGGAACACACACACAGAGTGCTTGAGTGCTGCCTGGTCTTAAATTCTCCAGGCACATTTATGTCGTTCTGAACTGAGACCTGAGCCAGGCTGTGATGAGTTTGTGAGTGAGGCTTATTCCAAAGAGCTGCACCTCACAGGGTCCTGAGCAAAGTGGAGAAGATCAAAAGTAATTCTCACATTGGGATCTTTAATTATCCAGGCCTGTTTCCATGAATTTCTCAAATGGAAGGAATCAAGGTCAACAGAACACTATTCTTAAGGCAGCCTATGACAGAAATTGCCTTTTTTCTTCTCCACAACACTTGCTGTTCCTCAAGGTTACCTTGTGATACAAATCCTCTCCAGGGTTCTTCTACTTATAACACTGAGGTTGCTCCGTGTGATGACAGTTGCTTCTCTCCCACCATCTCCATCACCACTAACAAGGGGAGGCAGCAGGGAATGATAGCTGCCTCTCTCCAACAGCAGCAGTCACAGGCCAGCAGCTGGAACACTGCAAAGCACTGCCCTTCACCAGGGCAATGATCAGGAATTTCGAAGGGCTGGAGAATAATAAAAGAGATTTTGCCCTGCGCTGCATGACCGTGTTCAACACACTCGTCCTTTCAGTATCATTTTAAATTAGAGTCTGTCATAGATTATTCAGTATTTCATCCTTTGTTCTACTTCAAGAAAAGTCATAGCCTTCAGTTTTGCTTTCAGAAAAGTCAAATTTTTACTGACCTGTGTCAGAGCAATGAGGGAGAATATGTATGTATGTATAGGAGAGGTGCCTTTATAACTAAGAGATATGTAGTGCACTGAAATGCAGTGAGCTAAAAAGACAGGGCAACAGAGTTCCTGCATTTACTCCTAAATCTACTTTAAAAACACTGAGTTATTCAAAATACCTAATTCAATATATATTGAAAACACACTTATCCAATCAGTAAAATGTCACTGTCTCACAGGATGCTACAAAGGTAAATTGAGATGCTTTATGTATTTACTTTTTTAAAACATGTTCTTGACCAGTAGTTACACATAGAGACCAAACGTTATGGAGACAGGGGGGATATATTCCATTGTCTGTTCCCAACAGGAGGAGGGCTGTCAGCAGGAGCAAGGAATCCATCTTATCTGATCATGAGGCTGTCAAGTACCAGCCAGCAGTACAGGTAGAAGAGGACACCATGGACTTCACACTGGAAGACTCTGTTCTGCTTCCTATGGATCCAAACCTGGAATGCCACAGCCCACCTCCAGACTACAACTCTGTCATTCACTACTCGGCCCCTCCGGTGTAACCAGCCCCCCCGACAGGCTGCACCTCTCAACCTTGCTGCATTCCCAGGCCTGGATTGGGGCTGGGTGAAATGGAAGGGAAATCTGACAGCACAATGGTTCATGTTTTTCTTCTGGCACATCTCTGATGTGAATAGAGACATTTTAAGAGCATCTTCACTACTATCTTTCAAGGCCTATTGCAGCATACGCAGTAAATTAACATTCTGTCCATCAGAATCATAGGTAGGAGCTGTAACCCAGAGCTGCTGCCACTCCTTCCTCCTGGCCGGGGTTGTTCATTGCCATTTGCAGACCCACAGGTTCCTTCATTCACGTTTCACTCCGTAAGAGTCATGGCAAGCTACTTGTGAACACAAGATTCAAGCGACTGGCCCTGCACACATTCTGCGACAAGATTCAAGCGACTGGCCCTGCACATTCTGCAGGGATTGGTTAGTCCAGTGCTGGAAGGAATCAGTTGAAAACAACAGTCATACGCAGTCATGTTTGGGGTTTGGAGAAAAGCCAAAACTGAAACGTCGAGCTTAACTTGGGATCTGATTTCTGAAATATTTTCAAATCCAAGATATTTTGGTTACAATTTGGATTTAATAATTTCCACTGCCTATAAGATACACTCCTAAAACTGGTATGGCCCAGAGAAAAAGCACACTTATCAAGAGGCAGACTGGTCTTTTGGGCCATCATGGCATGCAATGTGGTTAAATCTGATTCCCTGGGTTTTCTCCTGGTCCAAACAGCAATTTATTTAGCATACATGCAATAGGGAACCTTGCTGGAGATGCACCTGCACTGATTGCAAGGCAAAATCACTGCCTTATATAAGAACCTTCTTAAGCTTAAATAGGATTTCCCAGTTCATGTGCACGTGTGTGTGAATGTACATAAAATGCTCATTAACGGCACAAGAGTTACACGTAAGTGCACATACACACACCCTCGAGGCACCAGCAGGGCAGCAGCATGTTCAGATTTCCTTTCTGCTCACTGGCTATTTACTAAAAAGCATCAAAAATAAAAAGCCTTTCCTTTGGGTTCTGTGGCAGATGCCCAACAATTTGATACTGGGAATACTAGCCCACGCTAAGCTGCAAGTCATTTGCAGCTAACACACATTTATCTGACTGTCTTGCCAAGTAAATACTGATGTGATACACAATGCCCTCTGCATCTGAACCCTTCCTGGGTTCATGGTCATTCAAAGATTTTGGTGCAGCAGGACTGAAAGTATCACCAGTTCTCACGTGAGAAATTCACAGTGTGTTTCCCCCCACTCAAAAACTGCATGTGGCAGGGGCTGCTGGTCTGCAGTGGTGCATGCCCAGGTGCCATGCATGGCCCATGCAATGTCACAGCAGCTTCCAGAATCAGCAAATAACCCTACCATTGCACATGCTCTGTAACAACTGGAGTTGACTTTAAAATTTTAGGAAGAGAAAAGTCTCTATGTTGCAAGTAGAAAAAGCAAGGAGGAGAAAGATGTTCATTGACAGTCAGGGCTGGAGCCTCCTGAGTTAAAAACCTGATCTATAAATGGCTCCCTGTGCCATTTCTTCCAAGGTCTGCACAACTCTTTCCTTTTTTTCTTAGACTTCTTCATGATTCAAACTAAAGGGGGGAAAAAATCCAGCCCTTGCAAAATGATTCTGTTACCTTGGCAAAGACAGCTGCACAGTGAAGGAAGCTTTTCTGGATGAGTGCTTACAGTGGGCTATGCTGAAGTAATCACAAACAAGCCTCAGGTATTATCAAAGGGGAAAGCAAATCTCCAAACCCCACAGCATGTTAACTGTGAACACTCAAGCATCTGAAGGATGGGCTCCTGGGAGCTGCACTGCTCCTTCTCCTTGTTTTCAGAGCAGATGTATTAAGGAAATCACCTGCAGTCCCTCCCGAGCCCCCTGCTCATAGTGCACCTGGTAGATAGCTGTGGGTTGTAGTTGCTTTATTGTCATTTTGCACTGCTTTGTATTTTAGGACCTATGTATTAAGCAGAGCTGTTCATATAAGAGAAGAAACTACTGGGAAAGAATTTGTCTGATGAGCCCCCAGAAGGCTCATTAGATCTGTTTTTCATCAACACTAATTAACTATCTATAACTCTGACCAAGTAATCAATCACTTCTTATGGAAATAATTTATTCATGAGCTAAACGGAAAAAAGGGTGCAGACAGTTTGTCTGGCTGTGCTGTCATGGCATCAGTGCCAGATGTTTGTTACTGCACCTCAAGCTGGAGGGTAAGAAAACAACAGTGTTGAAAACCCTTTGCTTATGAACTTTAAAATAAGTACAGGTAGGGAAAAACCTGCACGTGTGCTCTGTGTTTGCTGAAGAACGGGAAACACCGCTGGGTGAACTGTCTGCTGCTCGGCGAGCAGAGGATGCCTCCCCACTCTGTGAGAGCGGCAGGGCTTGCAGGGAGCTGTGTTTGGCCAGCAGGACCCGAGCGGGGATGGAGCCCTCAGCAGCGTCCCTCAGCCCTTCTGCGGCGCCTGACGCTGTGAAACAGCACAGGCTCGAGCGCTCGAGACACGTTTCAAAACCTGGTTGCACTGACAGCCCTGAAAACTGCAGGTGGCAGAATCGACAGTGTCCTGAGCAGGACCGATGGCTCTCTCCAGAGCGCTCTGGCCATGGAAGGACTGACGTGTGGGCAGCTGTTTCCACTGTTTATTTTGAGTGGAAGACTTTTTTTCCTTCTTATAGTAAATGTAACAAGCAAAAGTATTGCCTGAAAAGTATTATTGAACATATGTCTTCTATTTTATTTACTAATATTTGGTTTGTCCTTTTCTCTCCTCCCTTAATTTAATTATTGTTCTTTTCTTACAATGATGTATATAGTGTACCCAGTAGCAACAAATATAGTGATTCATCTATATGGTAAGATTTGCAACATTTTAGTCCAAAGAGAAAGAGATACCCAGACATAACAGAGATAAGTATTGTTACTAAACATTTCACTAATGCTTGCAGGCCAGGCTCCAGTTTACAGTGCCCCACTAGTGCCATTTCATAGCAGTTCTCTTGGCTGTGAGTATCTCTGCCTCTCACTTATTCTCCACGTTATTTAGTTTCAGTTAGGAAACAGGGATCTGGAGGAATTTGGCAGGTTTATCTCATTCCTGGAAGTGTCACCATGCAGCTCATGTTAAAGGAGAGGAATTTCCACTGCCTCAGTTTTAACTGAAGGCTGGTGTATTGGCTAGAGGATCAGAAGGGGCAAATTGTTTAAATGATGTGATGTTTGTTATTTTTTCAGACTTCTCAGGGATTCTTACTCAACTCTTGTCTGACACCTGCTTTACCTAACCTCACTGAACTCATGTTATCTGTATTAACACATACCTTTGTTTTCTTTGATGGTGCTCTCTTCTACTGGTTTTGTGCTCTTGTATCCCCAGAGAACTAGGGCAAAGGAGCTCAGAGCTCACCACAGAATCCTGCTGTCTTCTCTCCAACAATCAGCTCCCACTTAGGTGTCCAAGGATAAGTGCCTTCACCTGCACGTTATTGTTCAGACTGGTGTTTGTAACAGTCTGGTTTCCCATCTCCTCTTTTCTCTACTTTTCATCTATTTCTTGCTATTTGCTCTCACAGTCCCTTTGGATTGCTTTGCTCTGCCTTTCAAATAGAATCAGGTATAGGATCAATTCACTCTGCTATTTCCTGTATATCCTACACTTGCAGACGCTGAACTAGATAATCTAATTATGCTTTTTTCACATTGAGTTTTTTTCAATATACAGGCAAGGAAATCTACTTTATATTGGTTTATCTGGAAGCCTCCCTGTATTCTTCCCTGAATGGGAATTTTTCACTATTGGTGTCTGGAGCAAAATGAAGGTCAGTGACCATGTGAATCTGATCATTCTTTGAGTTCTTTTTCAATGAGGTTTCTGTAAGGTTCTTCCAAATTATCCTCACAAGAAGGGGTTCCTATCCAGGATGCTGGTCCCACAGTATCTGCTTGGGATATCAAGGAAAGTCACATAAAAACCTAGAGTCTGAGTAATGGTCTCAAACAAGCCCACTGAATGCTGAAGTTAGGGCTCCTCTGCTTGACATCCCACTAACATAGACCTGTTCTTCCATCACCTGCTTGGCAAACACTGAGGATATCCCAGTGTCCAGGCACTTCTCCCTTTGTATTTGTGCACGTGTACACTGCAGGAATGTCAGTCAGCATGGAAGCCTGGAACTGGTCAGGCAACAGTTTACGGCTTATCTCCTCCATTACCCTTCACACTGAGAGCTATCACATCCTGTCTCACTATGCATGTTCCATCTGGCCTATCCCAGCTGTGGGCTGGGGTCCATGGTCCCCAGCTCCCATCAGCACCAACTGGAAACCACTGGAAATGTTTGCAGGGGAACAGCACTGGCAAATAGCTACAGAACAAGACAAAGTATTACCAGGTTGTCCTGAACACAGGAGTTAGCTGGGATCCATATCATCCTCAAAGATCAGCTTAGAATTTCTCTCTTATCATACAGTGAATGAAAAACACAGAAAGTAGCAATAATTCTTTTGTCGCTCCCTGCAAATAGTAATGGCCAAGCCTTGGGTCTCATTTTCCTGGGTTTATACTACATCACAAAACCCCAGAATTATGCCAAAGTCCTGACACCAGCACCATCTTACACAAGTCAAATTCAGGGAGGAGCTTGGGATTTGACACTGTCAAGAGTCAGTCACTGTACAGGTTACTATGTAAGTGTTGACCCAAGCACTGGTTTGTTTGTTTGATGTGTTGTTCCCTCATTGCATTAACACAGAACAGAAAACTCACTAGAGTGGGTCATTTGGGACCCCCAGAAGATACGACTCACAAGGGCTGTGGTTATAGGAGGACTAGTGTGGGAGGCACTGAGCAGTGTCCCATTCTCTTGCCTAATACTCCTGTGCCACCAGAGCCAGCACATCCTTATTACTCAATTCATTTTTCCTTAGACCTTGAGTTGTCAAAGCAGCTAATGAAAACTGGGATAACCCAGTAACTTGAGACTTACAGAAATAAACCAAGTGCCA